AGAAAGTTTTTATTGTAGAATTTGTTAAAGTTACCGACCAGCACATTTTTTGGATCATAAGACCTGGGGGGGGTTTTTATTTTTAGGTTCGTTTACATGGCTTTGAATGTTCTTATGTTGTACATTGTATTGTTTTCAGCATTCAGTAGGTCTTGTAAACCAATGACGTTAAAATAAGACCTTTTGGCCACGATGATCACAGGCGTGTTTGGAGAAAAAAGGGTGCAGAGTTTCATGAATAAAAAACCTCGTCCCCATGTGTTGAGCACGGGGGTGGAAACATCATGCTCTGCGCTTGTGTTGCAGTCGGTGCCAAGGGGAACATTTTTCCTGGATTCAATTACATTAAATAATGGCAACATCAGGAATTAAACACCCGTTACAAGAAAAGAAAAAAGAAAAGCCGAAGATGAACAAAAGATGGCGGTTTCTGTAACAGGATAATATTTGTAAACACACCTCAGAACACACAATGGGATACATAAGGAGGCACACGTTGCACATTTTGCCCCCAGAGTCCCCTGACCTGAGCATCATAGAGAATCTGTTTATAGACCTTCAAAGATCAGTGCATGCAAGACAGCACCAAGACTCTCACAGAAGCCTTTTGCAGGAAGGATGGTTGAAAATCCCCCAAACCACAAGTGAAAGTCTCTCATAAAACGTATTTACAAGCTGTTTCACTTACTGAATGCTGACCATGCACGATGCACGGTCCTTTTTTGTTGGTCTGGAACTGTAAAAAATGGAAATAAAAAAAAAGCAATTTTGCTTAAAATATTAAAGAAATGCATCATCTTTAACCTTATGTCTTTTGGGAATTGTGTCATCTTGTACTCCCATCGCTGTTCACAGTAACAGATATTTTAATCCCTATTTTTGGCCCATGTGACTGCACTGTATGTCCCATACTATGTCACACAGATAGTCTGACACGGTGCCAACGCATGACAAAGACACAAGAGTCACAAACAACAACAACAAAAGAGAATCGCATCTCTTGGAAATAAAAGACTGTCAGGCAGCACCATGCATGCTTCTGGCCATTTGGCTGACAGTTCCAGCAGAAAGTACATCATGTGGATACAAGGCTGATGTAAAAAAAAAACAGAAGAACTGCCACATATAGTAGATTAAATTGGATCAGATGAAACTAGTTTAAAATAATACATATTGTCGATGTTTCTGATAAACTCACATGTAGAGTGTGCACTGGTGGCTTTACAGAGAGACATACAGAACTGAGCCAGGACACACAAATGGGAGCTGCTAGTGTTCACAGATGGTGCTGAGATGTGTCCAAAAATACAGAAGCCATGTGTACCAGAACATCCTGTATATGAAAATAAGGACTCACAAATATGCTTGTGTCACGCTGACGGCCTCAGAGCAGAACTACAGAAACGGGGCTGATGCAAAACAAGTCCAGAAGTGGCAAAGCATTCAATAAAGATATAGGATGAATACAGTTTATACTATAGTCAAGGCAGATGCACACTAGATCAAGTTTATTGTCATTTTGCACAGATGAGAGAGCGTTTCTTCAGGATCCAATAAGTGTTTGCATATCCTTCCTTACTTTATGTAAAACATGCAATTATTAAAAGAGCATTTAAGGAGATGCAGAAGCAGAAACGGTTGCAGCAGATTCCCTTTCTGTCAGCTTCCTCCTCTTCCCCACAGTCTGCCACACGTGAGCCGACAGAGATGGGAACGGGAGAGAGGGAGCGGCCCAAGGACACCCTGATAACACACAGACTGGTATGCTGAGGCTCTCTCTGTCTGTCTATCGCTCCATCTTTCATCCTCACAGTGAACACAAACCATTAGAGATGCTGTCAGCCGCTGCACTTGCATTAGCGATGATTTAAAAAAAGACAGAGAGAGAGAGAGAGTAGAAGAAGAAGAATCCCACAAATACACAGAGTAAGTCTCTGCTCGTACAAATGCCACCCAGTGGTCAGACAGCGTTTGATGGATTTCAGCAACATGATATTGAAAAGGTATGTACATACCTTTGAGGATTTATACATTTCAATATCACGGCCGTTGCCAAATAATGAAATCTCAGGAAGCATTTTATCAAGGTCCTGCGGATCATATTAAACAGTGCATTCCTGTTGATTTTATCCTCCTAACACTGGGTTGCTTGCAACGGCGGGATGATAGTAATTGTAGCAATCACAGCACAGTGTGCTGACTTGTTAGCCAAGCTTATGTTATCCTGTTTGTCCTGTGGTCAGACGTTACAATGGCCAGAGTGTAAATGCATATAAGAGGGTTTGTTTCTGTCTAAAATGCAACATGATCAGATAAAATAATCTATTTAGAGAATCAACAAGACGTCAAGGTGATATGTGTCTTGTTATATCATCGGACTCCCTCCCCAGTCTGTTTGCAGTCTCATGCTGCTATGCCCCTACCTGTCCACTAGTCTCTGCTGTTCCCTCCCTCCCTCCTGATCAGTCCCTCGTTTTCCACTTAGTTCTCCTCCTCGCCGTGGACATAAAGCCTGTGCTCAGCTGATTGATTGTTTGCAGCCATCTCCTGACTCAAAGCTTTTTAAAGTCCTCTGTGACTGTCATATCTCGGCGAGCTTGACTTTGAACTTCAATTTAGTGAATTTATTTTTAGCTCAGCCTGCTGTGCCCTGCGCCTGCCTTCCCTTTCCTCCATCCTGTTTGCCAGTTATCCAAGACACAAGGGAAGGCTTGTCACAGTATCACACACACATATGCACATCCCTCTTTCATTAAGCCCCCCTGCTAACATCTGAAATGGTGAGAAAGTAAAATAATAGATAGAAAGCTCATTGTTCATATCGCAGGAGGATTGGACTCGGAAGATTTGGCTGCTTTCGCATCGGACACTGTGACATGTGATAGTAGAAATAGCACCAAGTCTTACTAACACCATCAACAAAGGCTCTGTCATATTAAAGTGTCCAGTAACATAGAAGCAGCATCATGGACAATAAAAACGAAGGAAGCGAAGCTGGTAAGTGGAATTCAGTGCTGAATAATTTCAGTGACATGGGGATATTGTAGACAGGTAATTAGATGCACAACTGGACATATCACTCGTACAAAATGAAATTATATAATTTTTCCTAGAGGTGGTTGTGTCGGATCGTTGAATGTGTTTTTTCAGGAAAAGTTACCAGTTTCACAAAATCCAATTCTTCCCAGCAGATCATGTAATTATATTTATTTCATAGGAGGAAGTATCGTCTTTATAAACACATATTTATCGTGACCAAAAAAAAAGAATACTGATTGTCTATGACCTTCCACTGACTTGACATTCATTACAGGAGCAGCCAATAATGTATTAATTTACTGACAATATGCTAAAGTTTGCATTTAGTTTGATTTAAATAATATTATAGATACCAATATTGTAATAACTCAACAAATACAATGTTATAAATGATGTCAGTTTCCAATTAAAAGTGACGTAAGACAGTTTTCTCACCAGGTGGAATAAGCATTTATGACTGTTTAAGTGTGTTTAGTTCAGGTGTCATGTAGCGCAAATGCTGGAAAGATGTTTAATTGGATTGTGGTTGTTTTAATCCGTGTTTTACTGGAAATCTGTGGTTTAGAGAGCGATGACAAAGGTTTAGGGAACAGTTACCTGGTGGTCTCCAGTGTTGCTCAGAAGCTCACCTGACCCGGAATACTGGATGGTCCTCCAGGTCCATCAGCCACTCAGTGAGGCCGTGATGTTGATGCATTCATGTGCATATGGCTGTATGATTCTTTCATTAAAAGCCAACGTATACATCCATCTATCCATCCACTAGCTATACCCACTTCATCCTGTAGAGGGTCACAGAGGACTGGAGCCCATCCCAGCTAACGCAGAGGCTGTGTACAGCCGAGACAGGTTGCCAGTTCATCACAAAGTTAAGACAAAGAGACAGACCTAACCTATATATAACACAAAAGGCACAAGTCTTCATGAGCATAGTACTACAACACCTGTCAAAGTATCAGATTACCATTTTTGAGAAGAAAAAAAAAATTATTATGGTAACAGTAAAAAAAACATTATTACAATATTAGCCAGGATCACATTACAATAACTTACTGGACTTTATTACATTTTTGGTAAAGGTAAGTGCACATTTTACATCATTGGGTGCTATAGGAGCAATATGAGAATAATTTGGGGTAGTTAGAATAATGATAAAAATCATGATAGATGAAAAATGAGCCAGTGCAATATTCCCCCCAATAAAATAATCCCTGTAAATGTACCAGCTCTAAGCAGGAGCTCAGCATTAGCAGCATGCAGCCACTAGTGGTCATCCATCTCCCACAAGTTGGCTGGACTCGGGGTGAGACTCAATGCTTGTGTTGCCTTTAGGGACTGTCGGAAATACTGGAAATGTTGTGGAAGAAAACGCAGGTGAAACGCTCAACTTGATAATGCAGTTGCTGCTTTGCTAGTTCTTTATCTATTGTTTTATTTTTTGCCTCTTGTTGGTTGTTGTTCTGTCTGTTTTCTTCTTTTTTTTGTCTTTATATCATACTTGTCTGTTGTACTGCTCGATAGTTAGTATTACACTGTACCAATGTTGAATTAATGCACCCTGACTTGAATGAACAAACTGTATTAAGTTGAATTAATAATGAATGAAATAAATAAATAAAATAAAAACAAACAAAAAATAACAACTTGATAATGCAAAAAAAAAGTTAAGTATTAAGTAAAGAATGGCAGATGTACATAAGAGAAACGCTACACACATATATGCACTTCTTGCTCTGTTATCGCAGGATATTCTTTTACTATATACATGTTTTTAAAAATTACAGTTTTGAATGACAGTAAATCAACAGACCTTCTCCGAATGTGATGTCCACGGATGAGAGCGGAGAAGCTCGGAGCGGCCGTGAACGCAGCGCGGCTCCTGCCCGGGCCAGCGGGATGACGCTGGACACAGACTGGCTGTGACACTGGTGTCTGTCAGATAAACAAACCCCTTCATGCATGGCTCTGTGGACCTTTAACTACTAACGCCGCCAGTCTCACTGTTGCCACACAGCTCACTTTAAACCCGACAACAGCACCGTAGCTGAGAGAAGATGTCTCCATTGACGAAAAGTTAAACATAAGCGTAGATCCCGGTGAGAGGTGAGTTTGACACAAGTTGCGCGAGAAAACTTAACGGTAAGCTAACGACAGCTAACGAGACGCGCTAGCTAGCAGTCTGGACTTTACCAACTCCAGCACACTAGCATTCATGGTGTTAAACGGTGGAGCATATTTTAGCGTCTCCTATTTCACCGTATAACAATAGTCTGCTAAAACAAGCTAATTAATTAGCTGGAATTAGCGGAGCCACCATCACCCCCCTCCTCCTCCTCTGTGTAATATGAGCCGTGAAGTGTCGTCCGTACGGGCACCGCTAACGTGACCCAGTGGGTTCAACTGGTTTCGGTAATGGGAGCTAACGGTGCAGTTTGCTGGGAACTCACCAGTTCACTTGTTGCATCTGCAGCTGAATGAGAGGCTGCTGCTCCCCGAACATAAGCTCCATTAATCGTATTTGAGTGAATTGATTGTTGTCTGTTAGCTGCATGATGTGACATCTGTTCATGGAGACTGAAAAATATCAGATTTAAACGCACATTTAAGATTTATTAATGTTTGGATGGATTTAACATAGCCTAGCCAGTGAGAAGAAGTGATTTCCAGAGCAGTTATCTTTATTTCTCTGCATGATTTCACCTGCTTTGTGTCCTACGTTATAACCAGTGTAGTTGTTTTAACCTGTTGAAAGCTTTAAAGGAGGAATTCAACTCCAACTTTATTGAGACTGACATGTTGTTAATGCACCAAATGACTTTGTTTTATTTATGAAGGTTATATTTTAAAGATTATAGCCCACAGGATAATTGCAAAACAGATAATTGAATATATAAAATCTGGCCGTAAATATGTTAATTCAATTCAAATCAATTCAAATAACTTTATTTCTCCCCTAGGGGGAATTCAAAAGCTCATTGGGTATTTAATATAAGGGCATGAAACAAAATAAACCACATCATAAACATCACATTATATTACATGGGCATTGGCAGGGAGTCAGCGGGTCAAAGATGGTTGTGCATTTAGAAGGAGGAGGACAGCTCTGGGAACGGTCCAGTCCAGAGGGGAGCCACTTGAATGCAGGGAACAGCGCATGTGATGGGTCCTGAAGGATCTTGCTGGCTTTCCTTAAGGTCTGTTGCTAACAAAAGGTGGAGAGGGCTCTTACAGGGAGCCCGATAGTTTTGGAGCAGATCTTGACAACACTCAGTAACCGTTTTTTTTTTTAAAACTTTGGATAGAGAGAGAGCAAAACCAGCAAGTAAAAGAGAAGGTGATGATGCTCTCTATGAAGGAAAATGTTGTGAGGATGTTTTTGCTCACACCGAAAGAGTTCAGCTTCCGACTTCTAATCACAGTCTGAACAACGAGATCGGACACACTAAACACATATAGTCCAAACATCTGAAACATCACTGTAGTATTGCCTTCATCATCCAAAATATCAGGTCTGATTATGCGATAAACTGCAAACACTTTGTGGTCAAAATTCCTCAATTCCAAGAAATGTTCAAGTTTCTTAAAGACAGATGTTTGCGATCACTGCCGACATAAAGTTGTGTGTATTTTGATTGATCCATTCAGAAGCAGCTGTGGATGAATTTAAACGAGGAGATGCATCCTTGACAAGAAGCGCAGTCAGATTTGGCAGATATCATCTTTCACATTATACTTTGCTCCCCCTCATGGATTTAGGGTTCATTTGAATATTGTGGCGGACGCAATAAATGAGGGGCGTTGGAATCCTCCCCCATGAAAATTAGAGCGTTAATTGTGTGCATTCTGGTGAATTTTTCCGCACAAATTAGCATCTTTTCTGCATCGATTTATGTTAGAAGAGTCTTTATATATCTATAAAAGAAAACACCAAATCCACTCATTATGGGAAAATTCAAAATATATGGGAATTATATCGATCTCATAATATTTTTAACCATAGATTCAGTGGTTGTATGAGCTGAAAATTGATATTTTAGGAGTAAAAGAAGATCCACGGTTGTCTGAGGCACTGTTAGGTCTATTAGAATTGTTATATTGGTTTTTCAAAACAGAAAAAAAGTGTAATTTGCTTTTTTCCTATTTTTATTAGGGGGTACACGTATTTGTGTTGTAAATGTTAAGGGGGCGTATCCCTGCACACATCCAGAATCTTTGCTTATAATCCTCTTTGCACAGAAATCTGCGGGCTTTCTGAAGATTTGATTTGTGTGTTCACTGTGCCTGCCTTTCTCAAGCTTTGTATGAATCCTCCCTCAATCAGAGGGAAGCGATTCCTTAATCGTCACCTATGCATTTCCCTTCTCCTTACTACAGTAATCTTAAACATTTGACTATTTTTCCATCTGTCTCACTCTCTCCACTGTCTCGTCTTTCCAGATGTAATCATTGCATGCTGCATGTCTGATAACCACCCATCACTACCTACACTTCCTCTCACTTCTGATGCATGGCCTCACCCTTTTTTTGCATGTGGTGCTGTGAATGAGGCATTATGAGGAAAGACAGGGATAACCCTCTGGCACTGTCATCCAAGAAACCGAGCCAGGACCAGACGGACTATGGACGAGAGCTAGAGAGGCTGCGTGCTGATTTGGAAGCCGAGAAGCACCAAAAGCAACGGGCCCGTGGCCAACTCGGTGTGGAGCTTCGGCACCTGCGAGAAGCAGCAGAGAAGGAACAGCAGAGAGCAGTGAGGGAGCTGACGGCCCGGCGAGGGTGCCAAAAGGACAGAGACTCTCAGAGACACGGGCATCTCCTGGCTGAGGAGGTGAATATTAAATACAGTGGACAGCACAGCAAGGTAGATTCCACGGGGAAAAAGGCTTTTTGTTTTTGCAGCGGACAAACATATACAAAGCTGGAGCGGTTGCTGCTGACGCTGTACAAGAAAATAAATGGTGAGCAGGCAGCTCATAAACTGCATCACCGGCAGGATTTTGAGCTGGAAAAGGCACTCTTCCTCTGCCACCTGCTAGAGGCCCATGGGAGACTGTTGCAGGGGGCGCAGAGAGCAGGACCCCCCAGCTGTGTTTTCAAAAGCCTGTCAAGGAAACCAGCTCAGAAGGACAGCAGTAACTCCTGTCAGACGACACCTCTCTTAACTTACTCCAAGGCTTCGCTACAGAGATCCCAGGGTGCCTCCCACTCAGCTAAAAGGAAAACCAAACAAGATCAGCGTGAGCAGCCTTCAGGCTCGGGCTTGTGTGCAGCTGACCCCTGCACCACCACTACTGCAGCCGTGGACACCTGTCAGAGCAGCTCTCTGAAAATTTGTCACCCACACAACACTCCCCATGCATACTGGGACGAGCGGCCCTCCTCCTGCGCTGAGTCCTCTGGGTCAGACGAGTCAACGCCCTCCAAATGCATGGACAGAAACATGGAGGTGAGCAGCTTCATATTTGTAAAATAACGTTTTCAGTGGTTGGTAATTCTGAAAGTGTGAACTTAATATGTTGTTAGAAATGTTGGTGAAGAGACTTGTACTTTTTGGTGTCCTGTATGTTCACCAGCTTCTTTTCCGTCTTTATGTGAGCATTACAGCTTATTTTAGCCACTGCCCTTGTGAATTTGTGGAATAATGTAATATAACTGACGGGATGGTGCACCATGCCTCCCACATGACCATTTGACTTCATATACATTCTGCAGCACGTAATAAACGAAACAGGGAACCACTCAATAAAGCCACTCGAGGTCAAAAACGACAACAAACATCTTAACTCTTGAAAGCAGCATTTGGGTTGAAGTGGGGTTTTGGTCCATCCTTGATTTCTAAATTACAGATTGACAGCACTGCCTGTAGTACATCTATTTCCTCACAACCTTCAAAAGAAACACAAAGCATAGATGTTAACCAAGGCTTATATATATCTACTCATAACTTCACACCACACAGGAAAGTAACTTGTACCATTATCTTTACAAGTAAAATATTTTGTTGAATTGGCCTCAGACAATGTGTGTTGCATCAGTAACTATATACTTGAGACATAAACCATTTAGGCCAACGTTCATAGTTATCTTTATGTCCTCTTGATAGGAGTTTTGCTTATGAAGTTGCCTTGGTTAAGTGAAGACATTGTATAACTGTATAACTGCAGGATGCCATGCTGTTCTCAGGCACCACAGCTTTATAAAAACATAGTCTTGCATAACCAGACCTGGTCTGACTGCACCTCATTCTTCTTCTATACGGGCAAACAATGTTCTTAGATGGTTGTGTTTCACCAATTCCAGTCATCTTGACCTAAGAAATGGGTACACCAACATTGTTCACTTAAAATAGCAAAGAGCTTGTGTGTATTTCTTTAAACCAATCACAGGCCTTGTTGTGGGGCTAAGTAAAGCACACAGCTCTGGTATTCCCTTAAAATAGTGATGGCTCGAATTATTTTGGTTGCGTGATCCAGCGCTACGGGTTAAGTCAAGCAGCGTGGGAGAAGCTGTGTACGATGAGAAAGTTTTGCCAAATTCAAGTAACGAACTGCTGTCTGGGATGGTCCAGAAATACCTCAGCATGTGTGCTTCAAGTGCAGGATCTCAGTAAATATTCATTACACACAGGGAGCACAGTCACCCCACGATGCCCCAGACGAAAGCCAGACAGAGCAAATGTGCTCGTCTTCCTGGAAGAACAAGCAGGACGATTAGGTCCACTACGCCTGCACTGTCTTACCATTTGATTAAGGAGTTAGTAATTAGCTCTTTTTCTTTATATTTTGAAAAGGTCTGTCTTTCTGTGTGGTAGGTTGCTGCTTGAAGTTGTTGATGTTGCAGCAACAACAACAACAAGGAGGAGAGCCAAATGTTTCAAACTGTTTATCTGGTGATATGTACGGTGAAGGATGTTTTAAAAGTCAGTACTTCCTGTTTTTTGGCAGATATCTCAGCTTGCAAAGGTGTTTGTAACCAGGCAACATTTTCTTTATGGTCACACTCACCAAAGTGCTGTGGCCAAAGAGAAAAAAATGTGACTTTTTTTCTGTCGACAACACTTGTTTCTGTCCTATGAAGGAGTTGCTTTGCAGGCTTTGTGTTGAGGTGGCTGATAAGTTTTCCCTCTGACGTCCTGTTCGTGCATCACCACTCCTGTGTCAGCGAAACCTTCCTGCAGCTCCTCTGCAGTCATGTGGGGGTGTTGCTTTGCCTTTCTGCCCAGCAGATGTGCAGTTTTATCTGAAAGTTTTATTGCTTTTCTCAGATCTTGACATTCACAGTCTCCCTTAACGGCCTTTTCTTAATTACATGTCAGTGGAAACTGCAAGTTGGGAAGCGCTTTGATATCGTCTTGCAGCCTCAGTCAGTTGCGTAAACGATCCAGCGGTGGTTAAGTGTTACCACAAGGTTTGAAGAATTAATCAGCTCTTTCATTAAGCGTCTGGCTCACCCCTAATAACATTTATTGACTGGCTTTCTAATTTTAGCCAGTCTGTTACAAGTTAATAAAGGTCTTCACGAGCATAAGGGTGGCCAAGCTTTTTAGAACATGTTTAATTAGGAAATGCTAGTTTTTAATTGTCGTTTGCTACAGTGGCTTCAAAAATCACTTGAAAAATATAGAATTAGCCCAAAACAATTTCACACCGGTGTAACATTACTGGTTTGGTATGTTGTTAAATACGCGTCTGCCTGTCAGAGGTGAATTTCGCAGGATTTGCGCAGTGAAGAGGGAGGTGGGTGGATGTGTTCATGTCTTTTGTTGGAGTGGCAGAAGTAGGTCAGCGTGTATCCGTCTCTTAAATTTTGGATCAAATTTTCATAGAGAGGAAATTGAATAATTAATCAAAGCTTGAACTGTGTCTAAACAGCGGTGCCCACTGGCCCAGCTGTACGGTTGTTTCATACTTCTTGCATGGCACTGCTAAGGCGTCAGCCTCGTTATGCGGCTCTGGGGTGAACTCAGTTTTTTAAAGATGTGCAAATTCCGTTTAAAACAAGAACGGACTGACTCGTGCCATTTACTTTTAATCAGGTCAGCTTTGTGTTGTCTTTTGAGAGACTGCGTAGAAGAACACCTTGTGTAATTCATCTTAGCTGTTGTAGATTTGGTCACACACATTTTTCATTTCCCTGAGACCTTTCAGAATTTCTAAATAGTCTCTTATGTGCTGTGATGTTTGATTTTTCAAGGTGAAATGTTTTGTACCTGTAATGTCTATTTGCAATCACCAAGAGAAACGAGTTTATCGTGAAGCTGTTACAGCCTCAGCAGAGCTCATTAGGTTTGCACAAAACGTAAGGTTTTACAATGATTGAATGAATAAATCAGAAAATCAATAAAGTCCGGCACTCAGCCAGCTGACAGCTATCGAACATTTGCTGTTTAGCTTTTTGCAAAAATTCCAAATGATGTTTTAGTGAAGCTCCTCTCCCTCCCCGTTGGCATTTTGTGTCAGCCGTGTTTGACCAGCAGCCTGCTCTTCGGTCTGATGGCAGCCAAACAGGGAGGCTCTGTCAAAATATGTTTGTGTGAAAGGATGTCAATACCACTGAGCCATGATGAACCTGGCTACGGCTCCTTTTTGTGCACAGCAGGCTTTGTTTGAAATGCTGACTAGAGTTTTTTCTTTGTTTCATGTTCAGTGAGATTTTTTTTAACATTTACTCTACGTGTGCCTCGTCTAACATGGTAAATACATTTACTGATAGCTGGGTTCAGTCACCCGGCAGTAACCTGACAGATTTTGCCCTTTGTTGGTTGTTTTGCACCACTGTTCCCACTCACTTAAAATATTGAGGAGCTGAAGCAGAATAGAAACAGTGTTCACGTCAGAGCTGTTTCTGTCTTTGGGCTGCTAAAGCAAACTGTAATTAATAATGAAATAGACTAAAGCTATGAAATGCAGTGTTCGAGCAAAATAAGAAGCTTGTGTGTGAGACACAGTATGAGGTTAAACTGTCTGGTCCTGATTTTTTAACCAATCTATGTGTTGAAATCAGCCCTTTCCCTCCAGTGCATGTATACAAGTTAGTTATTGTGGGTAAGATTAGGTTAGATAGAACTTTATTGATCCCTTTGGTAGGGGCACCTCAGGGTGAGGTGAGCTATTCAAGAAGAATGAACCTTTTCAGCATGAGGCATTGTGACTCTGGCAGATTTTATTGTTGACTGCACCAGCAGTGTACCAGAAAAATGCCGGTTAGAAAAAAACTCAGGGAAAATGCCTTTTTTTTTTTCTTCTTTTTTCCCTTTGCTGTGCACAGCTATGACTTTCTAATAGTGACCTATAAAGCAGCAGAAAACAGGCTGTTTATCAAAGCAGTCACTAAAGCATCAGCAATAAAATACACTTTGACCTGGTGCAGAGGAGTCAAGAACAGGTTAGATAAGAGGTATTTAAAGTGATAACTCAGATAAAAAAAAATAAGACATTTTTAGAAATGTTTCTGGAAAAGGAATTACTACTGATTATATATGAGAGTACATGTTTATTTATTTGCAGCAGTTTCA